GCACCCTGAGAAAAGACAAGGAGTCTGTCAATCTGCCCTTTCAGCCCAGATTCCTCTGCTCCCAGAAAGGCCCTGTCTCTTTTTAAGGGAGCTCCTTAGTGTGATCCTCCCTCAGCTCCAAGCTGCCAGCAAGGGGCGGCTGAGAACAGGAGTGATGGCCAGCGTAGTTCTTCTCTCTGCACTGAGACCATCCCTTTGCCTCCCAGGACCCACGAGATTTCACTTGGAGAACATCAGAAATGTCAGGGATTTCAGCCATCCAAATTCAATCCTAAATGTGCCAAGTGAAACTGTAACAAAACCACAGCAAATCCCCTCAGCTCTGCTCTGCAGTTGGGCAAACTGTGAACAGCAGGGCTGGAAACGCTTTGATGTGTCACAGGCACATTTAATCTCGGATCACCCCGTGTTCCGAGCTGCCTCTCACAGCAAGGAGGATTCCTCGGGAGCCTGTCACAGGGTCCCTGCTCTCAAAGCCCCCATCAGCCAGCAAAACCCAGAGCTCAGGGGAGGGGGATGCAGAGAGGTCTTCCTAAAAAGAGAGACACATTTTGCCAATAGAGTCTGACCTGACTCAGTCCTGCCTTTTCCTCCTCAACAGAAAACCACACCCTGAGGCAGCCCCAGAGCTGGAGGCAGCACTGCAGGAGGGGTCTCAGCTGAGCGGAGCAGAGGGGCAGAACCCCCCTCCCCTGCTGCCCACGCTGTGGGATGAGCCCAGGACACGGGGGGTTGTGGGCTGTGAGCTCCCATTGCTGGCTCCCATCCTGCTTTTCATCCCCCACTATCCCCATGGCCTTGGATGCAGGGCTGCTCTCCATCCCTTCAGCCCCGAGCCTGGCCCTTGAGATCTGGGGGCATTTGACACCCGCTGGCTCCTTTGATCCCCTTTCCCATCCCTCCCAGAGCACAGGGAAGGACTGAGGGGCCTTGGCTGATTGTCCCTGACCCTCCCCTGCCCCGACACCAAGCTGTGCTCCTTGGGGACGGTGCTTGGACAGCCCCAGTCAGACCCTGTTTCCCGCTGTGCCCCCAAACTGTGCCAGCAGTGCCAGGGCCTGTCCCTGCCTGTGATCCCAGCACGGACACGCAGCAGGACTGTGACCAAGCTGCCGGAGCACTCAGGCCTTGCACCCATAGAGGGCTGGCAAGGGGAGTGTGGAGCTGCAAAGAGCAGCTGTGGAAAGAGCAGGAGCCCTTGGCCCTGACCCTGCTGCTGGGCTGGGAATCTCTTCCCTCCTCCTCTGCACAAAGGCACTGCCCCTGCAGCTCCAGAGAAGGGCTGAGGAAGCATCTTGGACACACAAGTCAGTGCAGGGCACATGATTTTCTTGAAATACACAGTGATCGTGGCACCTCAGTGTGTCTGTGCACAGCAATGGTAGGTACTGGTGTAGCAATAGATGACTAATGACATTCCTTTATGGAAAACAGTAACACAAGTGAAGAAAAAAAAGGAATGCAAATATAAAATACACCAATACAAGAACAAAATGGACACGTGGCACAAAGCAGTCTGACATCCTGGATGCTGTGAAGAAGAAAAAAGGCACTTCAATGCTTCTGAAAAGCATCCAGTCATTTTCCTCCAGGCACCCTTGAGGTCCTGGTTCCTCCTGGGGGGGTTCAGTGCTGGAGGCACCACCGAGTCCAGAACTGACCTCAGCAGTTCCAGCAGCAGGGAGGAGATGGAGGGGGGCTTCAGGTGGGCAAACCTGACAGTGCTGACAAACAGGGAGACCACAGCCAGGGGAGGCAGGCCCGTGGAAAAGGCTCTAAAAAACCCTCCCCGAAGTTCACTCCCTCTGCACTTTGGGGTTCTGGGGGTCCCCCCGTTCAGGCTGTTGCAGGTCCCTCGTGTTTTGGGGGCCCCCTCTCCGGGGTTCTGCCTTTTCCAGGCTGCTGCAGATGCCGGGAATCCCAGGGGTCCCCCCTCTCGGAGCCCCCTCTTCCAGGGGCCGGGGGTCCCCGGCCCCCCCACCCCTCTGGGCTCCCCCTCTCCGCGCTTCCCCTCCCGCCCCCCCAGGCTGCCGGGGGTCCCCCAGCTCCGCTGTCGCCCCTCTCTGCTCTCCCCACTCCGGGGGCCCTAAAAAAGGGGCTCGTCGCGTCCCCCCCCGCCGGCACCGGGCTGACAATGGGGGCGGCGGGGCCTGACCCCGCAACACCGACCCCCACCGCGGGGGGGTCCCCGCATCCCCCCGCCCACCTCCCGCCTCTGCCGGGAACCCACCCCGGGATCCCCCCCAACAAAACCAAAACACCTCCCGGGGACCCCCCGAGGTCCCCCCGAGGGCCATTTGCGGCTCAGCCCCAAACATCCCCCCCAAAACCCCCCGCACACCCCCAACCCATCGCAGCCGAGCTCCCCCTCCCCGCCCGCTCAGGGGGGCGATGCTCCTCCTCTTCCTCCTCCTTTGCCTCTGCCCGCTCCTCCTCCCCCCGCTCCATCCCCCGAGCCGGGAGCTCGAGGTGAGTTGGGGGGCCCCGATGGCAAAGGGGCAGAGGGGAAGGAGAAGAGGGGCTGGGAGCCCCAAAGTGAGCGAGAGAGGGGGTGGGTCACTGCCAAAGCAGCGGGGGGGCGACGGGCAAAGGGTGGGAGAGGGGAAGAAGGGGAGGTGGGAGAGCGGCAAAGGGGTTCCCGTGGGGGTCCCTTCGTGTCCCCACAGCTCGATCCCTGGAGAGGAGGGACCCCCGGGCCCCAGCGGCTGATGGGGGCCGGGATGTTTGTTGGGAATTCCCGGCAGGCCGAACAAAGGCCCCGGCCACGCGTCGGGAACTCTTTGATTGTCCCCAACAGTGGCGGGAGTTCCCCAATTCCCGCCCCCCAAAGTGGGGAGATGGGAGAGGGGGAAGCCTGGGAGTGTTTTTGGGGTGAGTGTTGGGGCTGTCGGGGGGCAGAGTGCTGGGGAAGGGGGTTTTGGGGGATGCCAGGGCCGAGGAAAGGGGAGTGCGGGGCTCTGGAGAGGTGGGATGGGGGGTCCAGGGAGATCCCCTGGCCAGGGGTCGGCGGTGTGGGGGAAAGGGAGGTGCTGGGGGTCGGGAGAATGGCCAGAACCCGGGGTTCAGGGGGTCCCCCCGTGTTCCAAAGAAAAGGGTCTTGTGGGTTGTGGAAAAGGCAGGCCTGGGGGTGCAGGGGGTAGCAGCGTGAAGGAAAAGCAGGGCCTGGGGGCTGGGAGAGGCGGGCTGGGCGGGAAAGGAGGTTGCAGGGGGGTCTTAGTGCAGAATAAGGGGGTGCCAGGGGGTTCCTGTGGCCAGGAATTGGGGTTTGGGGGTGTCCCAGAGGGAAGGCAAAAGGGGGGCTGTAGGGACTGGGAGAGGAGGCCCAGGGGGTCTCTCGGGTCCTTGTGTCCAGGAAAGGAGGGTGCAGGGGCCTCCAGTGTGAGGGAAAGGGGGTTCAGTGGGTGGGGAGAGCCGGGATGTGCAGGAAGGGCAGTTCAGGGGGTGCCGGGTGTTGAGGAAAGGAGGGGTTGGGGAGTGGGAAAGGCAGGAGTGGGGGTGGAGGGGGTGGCAGGGTGAAGGAGAAGGGAGGGTGTGGGGACTTGGAGAGGTGGGATGGCTGGGAAAGGGGGTGCAGGGGGGTCCTGGAGCTGAGGAAGGGGGTGAGAGTCCCAGTGGTGGAGAGGAGGTGCAGGGGGGTCGTGATGGGCAGGAATGGGGTCCAGGGAGTGCCAGGGTAAAGGAAAAGGGAGTCTGGGAGAGGCGGGATGGCTGGGAAAGGGGGTGCAGGGGGTTCTGTAGCCGGGGAAGTGGGTGCAGGGGGTGGTGGTCTGGATAAGGGGGTGCAGGGGGGATCTGGTGTCCAGGAATGAGGTGTTCAGGGGGTCCCTGGGACACTCCAGGACCACTCTACAGGATATGCCAGGAGTGGGGAACTGAGGAGACAGGGAGATTTGGGGGTCAGAGTGGTCCCAGGGTCAAGGAAAGGGAGAAACGGGGAGAGCTGTGAGAACTGGGAAGGGGCTCCAGGGGGTCCCAGGGTCAAGGAAAAGAGGGTCTGAGGATGAGATGAGGTGGGATAGCCAGGAATGGGGGGCCAGGGCTCTCCAGGGTGAAGGAAACAGGGGGATCGAGGGACTGGGATGAAACAAAGCAAGGCCTGAAGAGTTAACTTAGAATGCATGCTCTGAGCAAAGAAACAAAGAACTAAGTTTCAAGGACTAGTGGAAGATAACACATACATAAATCTGACACACTGACACAAAAGAACAGAAAGTAAGAGCTCCAAAAATGCTAACACACACATAAATAGACATATGGAAGGAACACAGGGAGATAAGGGGAAAGAGAAGGGCCAGAGTCCAGAATCTCCTGCCAAATATCAGAAACTCCTGCCAAATACATGTTGGAGTCAGCCAAATTAAGGAAAGTTCAAAAGTTTACCCAAGAAAGAGGAGTAAAGCGACTACCCCTGAAGCTGAAGTAACAGGATGTACCCCCGAAATTCTCCACAAAATTATGACCGCACTCCTGCCTCCGCCTTAACTCCACCTGCTATGAATATTATAACTAGATGTTGCAATAATATGAATATGCATAAAATGATGATGTAATCTCTCGCAAAAATTGTATAAATAGTCTGGCTTTTCACTGAGTGCTTTGAAACTCTTTGTCCAGCGCGAGCTGGGAGTTCCCCAATGTTGCATAAAATAATTACCTTGCTGCTTAAAGACTAAACCTTGTCTCTGAGCAGTTCCTTTGTGCCTTTTGGGGCACAAATTCGGCATCAGGGAGAGGTGGGATGGTGAGGAAAGTGGGGGCAGGGGGGTCCTGGAGTCAAAGAAAGAGGGGTGTGGGGTCTGGAAAACTGGGACTGGCCAGGCAGGGGGGGCCCAGGCCTGGAGGAGCAGGAAGAGGAGGAGGAAGAGGCGGTGGGGGCTGCTGAGACCCCCGGAGTGGGGAGAGCGGAGAGGGGCGATCCCGGCACCGCGAGACCCCTGTCAGCCTGGAAGGAGGGGGGGAACCTGCAGAGAGGGGAGGGTTGGGAGTGCAGGAACCCTGAAATGGGGGCCTGGAGAGGGGGTACCCTTGGGAGTCCTGGTACACTGAAGTGGGGAGCCTGGAGAAGGGGGAGTGCTGGGACCCCCGTCAGCCCAGCCAGGGGGACCCCAGAGAGAGGGGACCCCTGTGATTTCTGGGACCCACAGCAGCCTGGAGAGGGGGAGACCCAATAGAGGTGGGACCCCTGAGAGCCCCAGCACCCCAAAGCAAGGAGTCAGGGGAGAAGGTACCCCTGGGGCCTCCAAAACCCCCCTCATCCCTAAGCAGGGGGACCTTGGAGAAGAGGGAACTGCAGGACCTCCAGCAGCCCAGAGAAGGGGGTCCCCCAGAATACCAAAGTGGGAAGACCCTCCGTATTCCTGGGACCCCCTGCAGCCCAGAGAGGGCGGGACCTTGGAGAGGGGGGACCTCCAATACATGTGGGACCCCCAGCAGCCCAAACGGGGGGCCCCCAGAAACCCAAAGTGGAGAGACCTGAGATGGGGAACTCCTGGAAGGGTTTTTTTGGTCTGAACCTTGGAGTTTCGGGGGGGGGTTGGCTGAGACTTGGTGTTTAGGAGTTTTTTATGGACACAAGGTGCTTGGTGACTTCTAGAGATGGACTTGGGCGGGAGGAACCCCCAACCCAATGTGCTCACCTCTTGTTTTTCCCCCCCATCAGGATTTCTCCTTCCCAAAGCTTGGCCAGATGAAGGAGGCTGCGAGGAAGAGGAAGATGCCACAGGCCCCCCGGGCAGGTGAGGAGGAAGTCAGTGCCCCTTTGCCCTGTCTTGTCCTGTATCTCCCAGCCCAGCATCGCCCCCGGCTGCAGGACAACCCCGCTGCCGCCGCCGTCCTGCCGGGGCCGGATTTGGGGGGATGTCCTTGGCCTTCCCTCTGGGCTGGAGGCAAATCCCCTCCCTGTCCTTCTTCCTTCCACTCCTTGTTCCTTTTCCTTCCTTCTTCCTTCTCCTTGTTTTTCCCTCTCCTTCCTCATGTTTTTTCCTTTCTCTCCTTCCTTCTCCTTCCTTTCTCTCCTTTTTCTTTCTGTTCCATCTTCTCCTTCCTTTTCATCATTCCTTGTCTCCTTGCTCCTTCCTTCTCTCAGGACCAGCGTGGCCAGCAGGACCAGGGCAGTGGTTCTTCCCCTGTACTTGGCACTGGTGAGGCCACACCTCGAGTGCTGTGTCCAGTTCTGGGCCTTCTTCTTCCTTCCTTCTTCTTCCTTCCTTCTTCCTTCCTCTCCTTGTTGCTTTTTCTTCTTGTTCTTTCCCTTCATATTCCTTCCTCCTCTTTTTCCTTCTCTACCCTCCTTCCTCTCCATCTTCCTTCTCCTCCCCCTTCCCTCTGGGCTGGAGGCAAATCCCCTCCCTGTCCTTCCTTCCTGCCCCAGGCCCCGAGCTGAGGACGGAGGGCACGGAGGACAAATCCCCCCGGCAGACCCTGGTGGGAGAGGCCGTTTTGAAGGGCTCCACGGCACAGGAAGGCAGCGGGGAGGAAAAGAGCAGGAGATCCTTCAGGAGGAGGGGCTCCAAAGCCAGCCCAGGGTGCTCTGAGGAGGAAAGACCCAGCCTGTACTGGGAAGGTGGCCGGAGCTTGAGCCGGAGCTCCGAGCTGGTGGTGCAGGAGCGCGTCACTGCCGTGGAGAAGACCTACAAGTGCCCCAGCTGTGGGAAGAGCTTCTGCAACAGCTCCAACCTCCTTGCCCACCAGCGTGTCCACACGGGGGAACGGCCCTACGAGTGTGCGGAATGTGGGAAGACCTTCATCTATGGCTCCCACCTCTTCACCCACCGCCGGGTGCACACGGGGGAACGGCCCTACAAGTGCTTGGAATGCGGGAAGGGCTTCAGCGTCAGCTCCCGCCTGATCCGCCACCAGCAGATCCACACTGGGGAACGGGGGCCCCGGCCCTACAAATGTGGGGAATGCAAGAAAAGGTTTAGAGACAGCTCCGGCCTCATCACCCACCAGCGCATGCACACGGGGGATAAGCCCTACAAGTGCTCAGAATGTGAGAAGAGCTTCAGCGTCAAATCCAACCTGACCCAGCACCAGAAGACCCACACTGAGGAATGGCCCTACCAATGTCTCGAGTGTGGGAAGAGGTCTCGGAGCAGCTCGGACCTCCTCAAGCACCAGCAGACACACACGGATGAGAGGCCCTTCCGCTGCACTGACTGCGGGAAGGGCTTCAAACGCAACTTCACCCTCATGAAGCACCGGCACAGCCACACCGGGGAGAGGCCCTACAAGTGTGAGGAGTGTGGGAAGAGCTTCAGGCAGAGCTCTGCCTTGATGACACACCAACAGACCCACCAGTAAGAGAAGCCCTGCGAGTGCCCCGACTGCGGGAAGAGCTTCATCTGCTGCTCCAACTCCATCACCTGTCAGAGGACCCACCTTGGGAACAGGCTTGGTGACCCACATTCCCAGTGACCCACCTTGGGAACAGGCTTGGTGACCCACATTCCCAGTGACCCACCTTGGGAAGACCCCTGGCTGGTGGACTGTGGCAGGATAGTCCCAGCCTGGCCAGGCCCAAGGTCCAATCAAGCTCATAATCAAGCTGTCATACCAGATCAACTGCTGGAGCCAGGGTGTTGTCTCGGTGTTAACTCTGCTAAAACCATCCTGGTTGGTCCAACGTTGAACACACACCCTGCTGGTTGAAGTCTGAGTTGACAGATAAGCTGAGAGCTGGCCTGGAAAGGCGGGCCTGGCACTCAATCACCTTATCCTATAAAAAGTCCAGTCCCCTCTCATGCAGTAAGGTTCTTTCTGACAAAACCCTCCCTGGGGAGTGTGTGGAGATTCCTCCCTTGGCTGGGTATGCCCTCCAAGGTCACTCCTCGAGGTTGAGGGAAAGAGATCTCCCCACAGGCGTTGGTCTGGGCGAGTTACATCAGATCAGTTTGTCCAGCGTGAGCTACCTTGCTCCCAACGCTGAAGAAACAAATACCTTGCTGCTTAAAGATGCAAAGTCTCTGAGCAGTTCTGTTATTCCAGGGTTTTTCAGCATCAGTTCATATCCCCCCCTTGGAGTCTCTTTTGGCCATGAAGGTGATCAGGAAGTGACCTCTGCCAGCTCTTGGCTCATGAATGAATCCTTGGCTGGTTTTTTAATCTCCTCTGCCCAGTTGCAGAGGGAAGTGAGAGAGTGGCTTTAGGGTGTCCCTGGTGTCCAGCCAGGGCCAACCCACTACACCTGCTGTCTGTGCCCTGTGACTGGACCTGGTGACAGTGATGGAACGGAGCACGATGATCCTCCCTCCCTTCCCTGGGTGCTGCTGGGTAGACCTGGTGTCTGAGCCCAGCGGGAACACCTGATCCCTGTCTGTGCACTTGTCCCTTGAGGGGACAGGCATCCCTCTCGTGCCCAGTCCTTCAGCCCCTCTGCCACCCACCACCACAGCAATAATTCCTCCCGTCAGACCCCAAAGCCAAACCCCAAAGCCGCCGAGCGCCGGCAGCGCCGGGAGCCAGACCCGGCAAAGGGCTCCTGCCCCTGCGCTCTCCCGGCGGGCGGGAGAAGCCGTGCCTGGAGCCGCTCGCTTTGCGCTGGGCTCTGCTGCCTCTGCCCCTTCCCACCACCCCACCTGCTTTTGGACAAACCTATTTCTTGAGCCTGAAATGCGGGGCCGGGGCGGGATGGTGTTGCCAGGTCTTCCTGGTTCCTTTTGTTTCTCAGCTCTGCCTGTCTCCGGGGCACGGCTCGGCCTTCGGCTCTCCCCGGCTCTTTTTGCCCTTTGGGTCTCCCCGGCTCCTTCCAGCCCTCAAGACTTCACAGTGACATCGCTTTTGGGTCCTTTGATATCGGCCCAGTGCTGCTCGTCTGTGGCACAGCGGGGCCTCCTGGAGCCATGGGGACATTGGGACACTCCAGGGACACATGGAATCAAGGTTGCCCTTGACCCTGCGGGACCTCCTGGTGCCCTGGGGCACCTCTGACACTTCTTGGCCTCTTGATGGCAAGGAGGAGCCTGTGACAATGCAGGGCCTCAGGGACCCAAAGGCACCCTGTGACACTGGGGCACCTCGTGGTTATCGGTCTCTTCTGATAGTTCTGTGCAACAACAGAGAGGCAAAACAGCAGAGCCTGAACGTGTTGATCCAGACTATTCCCATCTCACCTGAAGATGTCCCTGCTAACAGAGGTCCTGTGTGTTCCCTCTGCTCTCTGGGCACTTGCATCCTTTGAGAGCTGCCTATCACTCTGGTAGCCAAGAGCACAGGGCGGGGGATCCCCTGGAGGGGGAGCAGAGACATCTTTCCTAGATCACCTTGCTCAGAGTCCCATCCAACCTGGCCTTGAATGTTTGCAGGGATGGGGCATCCACCACCTCCCTGCAGCCCTGGGATCCCCTTGGTGGCCTCCTCTGGAAGTGCCCCAAGAGGTGCGTGTCTTTGCTGTGCTGAGGAGCCCATGGAGCTGCAGGAGATGCCAGGGCTGGCAGGGGAATCCCCCCAAACCATTGCCCTTGAGGGCGGGTGCGTTGCAGACAGCCAGAGGAGCCCAGAGCAGGAGGCAGCACTGCAGGAGGGGTCTCAGCTGAGCAGAGCAGAGGGGCAGAACCCCCCTCCCCTGCTGCCCACGCTGTGGGATGAGCCCAGGACACGGGGGGTTGTGGGCTGTGAGCTCCCATTGCTGGCTCCCATCCTGCTTTTCATCCCCCACTATCCCCATGGCCTTGGATGCAGGGCTGCTCTCCATCCCTTCAGCCCCGACCCTGGCCCTTGAGATCTGGGGGCATTTGACACCTGCTGGCTCCTTTGATCCCCTTTCCCATCCCTCCCAGAGCCCAGGGAAGGACTGAGGGGCCTTGGCTGATTGTCCCTGACCCTCCCCTGCCCCGACACCAAGCTGTGCTCCTTGGGGACGGTGCTTGGACAGCCCCAGTCAGACCCTGTTTCCCGCTGTGCCCCCAAACCACCAGGTGCCCCAGGGGACGTGGGAACACACATGGACACGGGAAGGCACCCGTGGATGTGGGAACACACCCACCCAGACAGACACAGAGCATTTGTTTTGCTGCAGGGGTTTATTGATTCTTGCAGGGAAATTGCCAGGGCACCCAGGGGATCAGGGGGGTCCTCCAGGGATGATCATCTCCTCATGCCGCTGGAGGGGCCAGGACACGGGTGTCACCACCACTTCCAGTCCTGAAAGACAGAGCCCCAAACGTCACCCCCGGTGTCCACAGGGACATGGCAGGGGCCTTGTCCCCACCCTGTCTGTCTGCAGGGATCTGGGGCAGGAGAAGGGAATTGGATGCTGAGATCCATGTGGCCCCAGAACCCCTGAGCCCGGGATGCTCTGACACCTCCCCGAGCCCCTCCCTGCCCTCCCGGTGAGCCTGGGGGTCTGCAGAGCCCCCAGTGCAAGGCAAGGCTTGGGGGCAACTCTGTCCAGCTGCCCCGGGACACGGAGCAGGGACAGCCCCCTGCGTGTCCCTCTGCTGTCCCCAAGCTCTGCCCACTGCAGAGGGCTCAGGGACCCCCCAGGGCCCTGCCAGGCTCCTTTGGGGGGGTGAGGACCCTCCGATATTTCTCACCTGGACATGCAGAGAGGCAGCCGAGCGTCACTGGCGCATCAGCTCCACCTGGTCAGCCACGGGGGGCTGGGGACAAAGGCAGGGTTAGAGACACACTGGGGTGGACTGGGACACACTGGGATGTACTGGGACACCCTGGGCTGGACTGGGGCACACTGGGCTGTGCTGGGACAAACTGCACTGGACTGTGGCAGACAGGGCTGTACTGGGACACACTGGGATATAGTGGGGCACACTGGGCTGGACTGGGACAAACTGCACTGGACTGTGGCAGACAGGGCTGTACTGGGACACACTGGGATATAGTGGGGCACACTGGGGTGGAATGGGACACACTGAGCTGGACTGGGACACACTGGGCTGGGCTGGGACACACTGGGATGCCAGGGAGGGTCATGGCCATGAGAGGGGAGGGTCTGGGCCCAGCAGAACTCGGGGTACCCACCTCAGACCCTTTCACTCAATGGACATCCATGCCTCCCTGGAGAGAGAGTGTGAGGTGTCACTGGTCACTGAGGTGTCCCCAGGCCCAGGAGGGATGGGGGGACTACATTTCCCCCCATTTCCCACACTGGGGACATCCCAGCTCCAGGACTTACCCCCTTACATCCACCTCCTCCTTGTCCCGAGATTGGCTGGGGAAGGAGAGCAAAGGTTTAAGCAGGATTGGCCCCTGTGGGGCTGGGGGAGGGACACGGGTGTCCCCAGACCCCCCAGCCCATGGTTGGCCCCTGGTCTGAGGGGGAAAATCCCTTCTGCTCCCCCCAGCCCCACTGCACCCAGTTTCCCATTGGGATCCCTGTTCCTGCAGGGCCCAGGGTGGGGATGGAGACAAGGAGAGCCAGGGGAATTCAGGGCCTGCAGGAGGGTGGGGGGGAGGAGGAGGGGATTCAAAGAGGGTGAAGTGGGGGGAATTGGGGATCCCAGAGGATGGGCATTGGGGTGTGGAAGGGATGGGACTGTGGGGGATGCGGGGGAGGTGGAAAGGATACCAGTGGAGGGGACCCAGGGAATGAAGCAGGGCAAGGGTGGGGGCAGGAGAAATGGGGAAGGGGAGAGAACTGGAAGGGATTCGAGGGAGCTTGAGACTAGGGGGTCAAGGAAGGGGATTTCTAGACACGAGTGTCATGGGCAATGGGAAAGGGAAAGGATTAGAGGACAAAGAAGGGAAGAAATGGTGTGGGAATGATGCCCTGTGTGTGTGTGGTGGGGTGGACTGGGGTGTGTGGGAATAGAGTGGGGGCCCTGAGGAAGGGCCTCCCCGGTGCACACTGGGGTGGACTGGGGAGCACTGGGATGGCCTGGAGGGTGGTGGCCACCAGAGGGGAGGGTCTGGGCCCAGCACAATCCCTGGTACCCACCGGGCCGCCGATGACGCCTCCCTGTAGAGAGACAAGGAGACGTCACTGGTCACTGGAGTGTCCCCAGTGCCAGGAAGGGATGGGGAGCCCAAAGTGCCCCCCACTTCCCACACTGGGTGCCCCCCAACTCCAAGACTTACCTCCCCACATTGGACGCCGCCAGCCTGAACGGGCTGCAGGAGGAGAGCAAAGGTTTGGTTGGGGTTGGCCTTGTGGGGCTGGGGGGGACACGGGTGTCCCCACCCCCTCCAGCCCCGGCTGCCCCCCGGGCTGAGCGGGGCTCTTTGGGATTGCGGCTCCCAGGCAAGTTGGGGACACCAGTGCAGGGGGAAAGGCAAGGCATTGAGGGCAAAGCCTGGAGGAAAGGCCCTGGGAAGGGGCCATGGCAGGGCATTTCCCAGTTGGTGCCAGTTCAACCTGGCCAGGCCTTGTCCCACTTGAGCCCAGTGTGGAGCTTGGGCCTGTTTGTCCTCCTTGGACTCAAGTGGGGCTTGGCCCAGTTCCACCCAGTTTGGGTTGGGCCTTTGCCTTGGCTGGGAAAGAGAGGAGAGGGTGGGGAGATGCCCCAGGGGACCAAGAGGATGGGATGGGGGGGCCCAAAAAGGTGGGATTTGGGGTCAGAAAGAGCAGGAAGCGTTGGGACTGTGCCAGGATGGAGCCGGGTGCAAGCATCCCGTGAGGAAGCGGAGCTGCAGCAGCAGGAGTTGAATTGTGGGAAGGGGAAGGAGAGAGGGAATTGTGGCCAGAAGAAAGTGGCCTGGCCCGGGGCTGGGGGTGCTGGGGAGCTCTGGGGAGCCCCTGGATTGGGAAGGGGCCCATCCCTGAGCCCATGGCCGTGGCATGGGGGCCTCACCTTGGCATCTGCCGGGGGGCTCAGCAGGATGGTGAAGAGCAGGGCCACGCTGAGCACAGCGACCTTCATCTTCCTCTGGGCCTGGGCAGCGCTGGCTGAGGCTGCACAAGGGCAGGAGCACATTTATCCCTGCCGGGACTCCTCCCTGCCCCCTCCCCGAGAGCCCCCGGGGCAAAGCCCGGCTGGGCACAGCCCCCAGCCCTGGCCACAAGCC